ATTGTGTCCCCCATGGTCGCTTTTTTACAGAAATGTCGCAATGTTCAAGTTGTTAACATTTGAAGATGGCCACTATTTGATAAAACCTCATAACACTATTTACAGGTTTTTCACCTGTCAAAGCATAAACTGTTTTACGCTTAGTTTTCTAACGATAATATATTCATTAGCTGATTTCTGTGAATGATAGCTCAACAAAATGCCGATAGTTATTTATCGTAACTAAATTTACAGATCGAATTGTAAATGCCAATTTGAAAACAATTTACGCCAGTATCTTCACAATAAAATGATATCACAGTAACCATCATAATGACCCTACACAAAGACAAAACATTGCATATTTTAGTATTTTTTGCTGACTCAACATGTTTTATTGTAAATGTTTTACTGTTTATGTCGTTAACGTTAAGGTACTGTGATAAATGTTAGTATATCAAGTTAAGTAGCAGAGTAATGTACAAGCTTGTCATAGGACAGTTATGTGTATTATGCAAAATTAAAATAAAATTTACAGTGTGGTTTATGAGCTATGGATACATTTCTGAACTAAAACTTTGCTGTTAGAAGGCTTTTTTTCAGAAATGAGGAAACTCTAAAAAATTTATAATATCATCATTATGAAAAAAATGTTTTCCTATTGCTCAATGATAAGAAACAAATAATAACATTCAGGTAACAAATTATACGAGCAAATGATTGTTTCTAAACAAAATGTTTTTCATATGTATAAAAATTATTACCCTACCCACCCACTTTAAACACTTATTTGACCATTTCCCTATATAAAAAGCCTTATTCAAAATATCCCTAAAATTTACCACAATGAGTGGCTGTTTTCAAAGTTTGACTAAATTTTCGTAACAGTATATTGGTTGATCATCCGACATATAAAATAATTTTACCTTGTAGTTTTTATTTTATTAAACCTTGAAAATATCTGGTATCATATTTGCTATTAGATTTGGCATTATTTAGCAAACAATTATCTACAATAATTATATAATTAAAATCAATAAGGGATCTGAGTGATACCCTAGTAATGTTAAAGAGAAAAAAGGAAAGCCTTCTGCGGTTTGAACCCACGTCCCTCAATTTCAATGTAGTTGACAAGTGATTCTAGCCTATTTGAAAACTCTTCAAAGAGGGGGAGATGCATAACCTATGGTCTACCTTAAGAAAGAATGTTTAAATCGCTAAAAAGACACTTGAAAAATATAAAAAAAGTAGTCGCCTCGACTAAGATTTGAACCCCAGACCTCTCGCACCTTAACGAGCGTGTTACCTCTGGACCACGACCATTTAGAATTTCCACTTAGGGCTTGTAATCCTTATTAATTTCGAGGTATTTTGTTCACGGTAAACCTTTTGTTTTACACTGATGTAAATAATTTAGCGAAAATCTTCTCGCCCAAACAGTGCTGGAGTCTTCGGTAATCGACATGGCTAAAAATAGTATTTTGTTTACGTGGATTGAATCATCGGGTGTTTAACTTAAAAGATCGTTAATTGACTTTCGATCGTCGACTGCTCGAAATTCGTCCCTGTCATAGAGTCAACATCCTTACTTTATTTTTTCAGAAAGTCTAAATAACAAATGTTCATTTAGGGATCACAATAATCCGAAGCTTTACGGAAATAGCCGAGCAATTTTCATCGATTAAAATGATATTCATCCGCGTAATTTGTGATTGTGCATTTATTGACAATTCTATAAGCCAAAGCTACTTT